ACAGGTCTTTTGCTCCTTTCTACTACATGATTTCATGAGATGGAGACAAGCATGGAAGAGTGTACTTCCCTCCCTCCAATTAAAGGGAACCTGAACCAGAATAAAGAATCTTTTAAGTAACTAATCAGCTACGCTCTGGGCTGCCCTCCAAACCCCAGAATACACCCTCATCCTCCTATGTCTCATATATAAGCTCTTATATAACTTAAGAAAGGAAGTCAATCTGAACTAAAACAAAGGGACTCTTTATATCCCTCTCACATGCTTTCAGTTTTGATAATACTCATCTCTTTGCCTTATTTAAAGATAGATTGTTTGATTAGTTTTCATTTCAGCTTTTGTGTTCTCTTCCTTTCCTCCTCCCCCTGCCTTTTTATTCCCTTCCTGGTGCAGTTGTTCCAGTCTTTCCCTTCACTTTGGCACCACTGTTGGTCTATTTCCTTAGGTTAGCACTCCACGTCATGTTAGTTTGATTAACTGTTGTACATCTGGACTAAACATCAGAGGGCCAAATTCTGACATGGGCTATATGGGGTTCAAAAAGTCAACACAAAGGTTGATCTACATTGTTTACTGTGTGTGTGGACAGGGAGTAAATCATCTGCTCGATACATATCCTGATTAGATGGGCTGTACAGGTAGGTGCTTGCGTGGCTAAAGGAGATCACAATAGCAGGATCATTTGAGCAGTGCATCCTCATCGTTGCAGATTCCCTCCACTGATGAGCAGTGAAACAGTTATCGGTGTTGACATTTAAAATGTTATCTGTAGGCTTTACAGGTAACATCAGATTAAATGAATGAGCAGAGTAATTCAGATTTCAGAGCTACGGTTTCGGGCTCTCTATAGACCCAGGAAGGCAATAATGACCACTTGATTATCATTTGGAAGGTCTTATTTACAACCAGAAAAACTTGAAGTATACCTTAAAAAAACCCATGCAAACACACAAGAGACCCAGACTCTGGAATACAATTCTGTGCCATGGCTGTAGAATACATGGGCTCTGTCTTAATATGATTTATTACTACCAGGACACACCAGGAACTATTTTTTAAAATTTAGTAAACAAGATGTACAGTTTATGTCCATAAGATCATACAAATGGATGTCTTTTGTATAGAGCATGTCCTAAGATAAAAAAAATGGGGGGGAGGGAGGTAATTGTTTACACTTTAGGCCCTAACCTGGTGTAGTGTTTATACGCAAACAAAAGCTAAAAATTTAATAACAAACTTATCACTGGCTTTCCCATTTCACCTCAGCATTTCAAAGAACAGTAAATAGGAAGCTGTTGCTACTAACTCACAACTGTAGTGTGTATTTACTTCCCCCCCCTCTCTTCTAACTGACATCTAGCTTAATTTTTTTGCTAATATTATTGTGCCTTTAGCCTTCAATTTCTGGTAGCAACTGTAACCAGGAATAAATCACTTAAACTGGAACAGAAAGAACAAACACACCCCACACTAGAAAACGCCATTACTGTGCCAGTCTTTAATTTTCACATTTTATTTGTATCTGCCCGTGCTCAAAATGGTCTCACCCATAATTTACCAATGAGTGGCTTTTACAAACATGCTTAAAAGAGCAAGAAAGAGAGAAACAATTTGTTTCCAGCAAGTATGTAAAACATTCACAATTCTTTAAGCAAAACAAATGCTAATTATAGAGGCAGTGAATACTGGAACTTCAGGAAAGCAACAAGAGGAACTTCTTATGTAGAAGAGATGCATCAAAGCTCCTTTTCCCCCTTTATTAAATATATGGTATCTGGAATTATGGTTTAAATGTAAATATTTAAAATATTTTCAAGAAAAGAGGCAGACCTGTGTTTACATAGTATCCAGTAAAGGAAACCCTGAATACATAAGACAACAGAAATGAAATGCAATTAATATTTACAAATAAACCATCTGTAGATTACTCCTGAGGGCACTATGTGCCAAAAAATTAAAAAATTAGCACACAATATTTCAAAAATTCTGCAAGTTTTATTTATCAATAAATAAATGCAGAGGCTCCAGCATGGCAGTGGGGAGCACAGGTCACTGGCTGCACGAAGGTGGGAGATCACTGACCAGCCTCCCTACCCCGGAGATGTGGACTCAGTGGTGAGGCTGCACCCGACCCTGACACAGAAACACCCTGGGGCCCTGCCCCTCTGTGCCAGGCACACCAGGTTTAGGGCAGGCAGGATCCAAGTGTGGAGGGGCTCAATGTGGGGTGAGAGGATTCTATGTGGGACAATTGGTGCAGGCAGCTCAATGGGGGGTCTAGGTGAGGGGGGATCTGGATGCACAGAGGCTTGTTGGGAGGGTTCCAGGTGCAGGGGCAATGGGACTCTGCAGGGGCTTCCAGGTGAAAGTGGTTGGGGCTCAGCTCAGGGGTCTGAGTGTGGGGGTCTCAGCAGGGAGTACGGTTGCTGGGGGAGTGGGCCTTGGTGGAGTGGAGGTCTGAGTGGAACTAATTGGGAATCAGTGGCATGGGGATCTGGATGTGGGGGCTCAGGGTGATGCAGGGGGGTGGGGCTCATCAGGGTAGGGATTTGAGTGCAGGGAGCTCTGTGGGGGTGGGTTGGGTGCAGGGGTGGGGATCCAGAGGCAGGGATCTCCAGATGGCAGGGGGCCCCAGGGGTTGAGGTTCAATGGGGTGGGGTTTGGGTATGGAAGGCTAGGGGGGTTCTGGGTGTCTGGGGTGAGGCTTGGTGGGGGTGTCTGGGTCTGGGAGGTCCAGAGGCATGGGGGTTGGACAGATGGGGAGCAGCTTTCCGTACAGTGACTCCTCCCCCCATAGCTGAGGAGCGATGGGGGCAGGAAGCAGGAGAGGATGCTGAGCTTCCTGCAGCTGGGGAGGTTTCTGGGGGTGGGTCTGACACGGCCCCAGCCACTCCATGCAGGGAAAGAGGAAGTCCTGTCCTCTCCTGCCTCCAGCCCAACTGGGACTAGCAGCTGTTCCCGGCTCAGGGTAGGAGACACTGGCTGAGGTGTCCCTAGCCCTGCAGTGATTTACCTTGCCGCTGGCTACTCCAGGTTCCTGAAATGATGTACCTGTGTAGCTAGGGAGCGGTGTGTGTCTAGTCTTGCAGATTCCCTTTGCTTCCCTATCAGAAAGTCATTTTTCTGTGGGGAAGCAAAGAAATCTGCACTGGACATGAATACTGCACCAATTCCCCCAGGAGGACAATATGCTTCATCCATAGACCCATCTCTCCCCTCTGAAAAACAATAACGATCCTATTTCATAATTTCTTATGTGCTTGTTGTAAAGAAAACTTAGAGCCACTTCACACCACAGCCACATCTGTAACTGCAGGAGATTCCTGAGGCCCACTAATGCTAATAGGATGTTAAGGACCCATTCTTCAGTGATGCATGGTGTAGAAAGTGAATCATGGGGATAACTTGAGTACCCTTGGGAGTTGGAGTCTCTCTCCCTTTATTGTGGCTCTGGTCCGAGTGCATCCTATTAGTCTCTTTCCTCCTTATTAACACACAATCTCCACCCACAATTCTCCTTGGGTGTAAATCCTGGATCACAACCTCTTTGGGAATAACAGCAGCACCCTACCACCACCTACACAAACAGCTGGCATGGCACAGAAGAATGGAATAATGACAGGTTTCAGAGTAGCAGCCGTGTTAGTCTGTATCCGCAAAAGAACAGGAGTACTTGTGGCACCTTAGAGACTAACAAATTTATT